AGCGTTACACATGTCAGTGGGCTGCTGCTTCTCCCATTAACCTGTGTTTTGTCAGCTACGTTTTCATGCTCCCAGTCTCTGAACCTTAGAGAGCTGGGGCAAAGTTTTCCTCACTGGTATCAATAGAAAGTGTGTGTGGCCTTCCACTTTCTTCCCATTAACCAAAGTAGGGAGTTTTTTCCACATCCAAGTGCCTATGGCAGGGGTGGAGAAAGACGGAGGAAGATGGAATGGTAAGAATGCCGAAAAAATTGTCTCTTCTCCTTCAGTAGGCGATATGGTTTGGCTGTGTCCCCACCTAAAACTCATCTTGAACCGTAGCTCCCATAACTCTCATATGTGGTGGGAGGGACCCGGTGGGAGGCAAATGAATCACGGGAGCGGTTTCCTCCATACTGTTCTCATGACAGTGAGTAAGTTTCAAGAGCTCTGATGGTGTTATAAGTGGAAACCCCTTTCCCTTGATTCTCTTCTCTTCTCTTCTCTTGTCTGCCGCCATGTGAGATGTGCCTCTCACCTTCCGCCATGATTGTGAGGCCTCCCCAGCCATGTGAAACTGTGAGTCCATTTAACCTTTTGTTCCTTATAAACTACTCAGTCATGGGTATGTCTTTCTCAGCAGCATGAAAATGAACTAATATGCTGGTTAAAAGTTGAGAAAAATCAAAATGGATTTTGAGTCAAAAAGAAACACAGACTGAAGAAGCCGACACTGGCGCAACCATCAGTTCATAACTATTAGCTCAGCCCAAGCAGGAGGATGTCAACGTCCACCCTCAAAATCGCCCTATGAGACCTTTCAACAAAATCTCGTCAGGCAATGATAGGGGTGTGGGAGCGGAGGACGAGCTTCTGGTTCTTCCAGCCGAACTCACACCCTCGAATGCTGAAGGAAGAATTAAGAGAGAAAGGAAGCAGTGACTCTGAGAACTCGGCGGAAACAGGGAAGCTTTGCAGGGTGTGCAAAAACCTCTCTTCTCATCAGCAATAGTGAGTTACGGTTCTCAGTTCCTTCAGAACAAAGCTTTCACTTCACTGATCTCATTCTTAGTCATCAGACACCAGAGCTGGGAGAATGGGTCACAGGTTTTCAGTCTAAGGACACCCAACTCCTCAGAAGTTTCTTCCTTCTCGCATTTGAGTAACAGGAACTCTGCAATACACGGGAAGTGTGTGTTTATTCCAGGGAACTGCTGCTCCTCCCGAACGTCCTACACTGTATAATTGAATCAGATACACCACACCATGAACCCATGAATTCAGGTACACACACATACACACAGAAACAGAGTCTTCTCTTCGAACAGACAGGTTCCTCCCCCGGCTTAATGCAAAGTTCACCTCATACGTTTTCAGGACAGCAAACTACACACACTTAGGCAAGGTAAACAAAAATTAAGAAATTACCAAACGAAACCTTTTATGGCAAAGTTTCTCAGTTTGGGAATCCTTTTTTTACATAAATCACGTTAGAGCCCAATGCCACCTGTGACGGTTCATAAGACACAGGCTTGCATAAAAGAATAAAAGTTAATGTCAAGTAAAAGCACACACAAAATTAACCACTGCTTACAAAAAAAAAAAAAAAAAAAAAAAAAAAAGCAACCACAACATTTCTACAGAGCTGAGCATGACCCACCTAACAGTGAAGATTTGACTTTATCTCCTGGCCCCTGTTAAGTGACAGTAAGCTCTAACTCACATGAAATCACGCCAGGATATTTTCTCTTTAAATATTCTGAATGACCGTGACAAAGGACTGAAAGACTTTCAAGCTTCTGCCTGGCTTTTATAAAGATGGTCACAGAAGCCATTCAAAGAAGAGTTAAGACAGCCTTTTACTTTCCCTCAAGAAGATTCTGTAACATGTTGAAAAACATATTTAAATGTCTCTCGATGCAGAGAGGTAGAGGGCATTTTTTTTCTTATCCCTCCCTAAGATAGAGCCTAAATTCCTCCACTCTTGTAATTCAAAATAATGTAGGTAAATTGAGCATACTTAAATTCATTGGCAAGAAGGACATTTTCTCTTCCAGAGCAGAAATGAACTACATGAGAAGCCATTTTTTTCCCCCTTGGCACAAAAGCTAGCAAATTTTTGCTTTCAATACATGTTGAGGGTAATAATGATAGACTCCTCACAAGTTCAAATAGTGCAATAATTCCTCTCATTCTATAAAAGTTATGGTTGTTGGATAAATAGGGGAAAAATCACCAAGAGACAATTGTAGGTAATAGTGTAATTTTTCATTATATTTACAAGTCAAAACCTTTACAAAGGCACCTCCATCCTCTCAAGTAAATGGGTCTTTAGTCTTAGGAAATGGAAAACACAACCAGAAATCCTAGATGCCAAATGAGAGCAATCACACTGACCTATGGATAATCTCACATCCTCTCTTCCTGCAAAAAACTCTTTATGATTGTATAAAACAGCTCCCATAACCAACCAAAAGGACTGTCATACATATATATATATGTATGACATATATATACATGTATACACACATACACATATATTATATATACATATATATATACACACACATCTATCTACATACATATATATATATTATATATATATATATATAATGTATTTTATTTGTTGTAAAGACAGGGTCTTACTATGTTGTCCAGGCTGGTCTCGAACTCCTGGGCTCAAGTGATCTGCCTGCCTCGGCTTCCCAAAGTACGCGAATTACAGATATGAGCCCCTTTGCCTGGCCCGGACCAAATGTCTTGAATGCAGGTCTCTCCTCTTGTATGCTTATTTAATCGTGACAGAAAACATGCCTGCCTTTCAGCCAAATGGGAAGATGCCAGCTCTCTCTCCTCCCATTTGCACCAAAGAAAATAGCGAAGTTGTCAAGATCTAAAAAGTTGTCGTTTTACATCAAAAGGAAAGAGGTGACTCAACACGCGGTATCAGAGCAGGAGAGCTCCCGCCGACTGGAAGCTGCCGTCGTTAGCAGCTGCTTTGAGACGCTGCTATGATCTGGCACAGTTGAAATTCCGTTCAGACAGACGTTTTCTCATTATAAGCTGCTGTGGAACTTTCTGTCACATTTGATATAATAGGTAATGTGCTGCTTTTACAACTCAGCAGAGCCAGGTTTCACCATGTCTGTTTTGATTGTATCAGGCTGGATTTAATGAAAAGCTCTGATCGACTTGGCGACACGAAAACGAGTGCAAACACATGCAAAACGAACTCCCTCTCTGTGGATCTGGGGCGAGTTTCTGGCTTATTTAGAGGCAGGGGAGATGTTAACGGGATCCAAGGTTTTTGTACTTTTATTATACCTATGTCCACTAGGTGTACGTGGACCCTACTGAACTCTGCAGAAATGTTTTCAAGTACGAAGGATTTCTTGCTCATGACTCTTGCCCCCACCACTACCTACAGCCTTCTAAGAAAATGTTCCACTACTTAAAGTAGAAAAATATGAAATATTAGAAAAAAACGTTTGCTTTTCTCTGAGCTATAGGTGAAGCTCACTGAACTATTTCTTGAGAAAGAAGGAAATGAAACAGAGCAGCACCTTTCATCGGCCTGCCATTTTCTGCAAATAACCCCTCTTCTTATCTACATACACTCTCTTACACTTTTGTGACCTGGCAGAGTATGATCAGTCCATAAATGGCTTTTACTGAATCTAAAACCCCAGCGTTGTTAAAAAATGACACCAGGAATGCTAAGTGGATGGCTGGCAATGAATGCTGAGTGCCAGCGCAATCTCTAAACATCTTCGCTCAGTACTGGCATGAGTTAACTACAGAGGAAAATATTACTGGTCATACAAATTACTTAACATTTCTCAATTTTCACTATGAATAGGGCAGGTGCCTTCTCTAAAGGTGGCTTGGAGATCCTCTAGCCATTAAAAAGTGGTTTACTCTTTTTAAAAACCGTCATTTCTCACGTTACATCTAAATGATTATTAAGAAGCCAACTATTAAAACCTACTCTATTTGAAACCCATAAATGAACATTAAAAGTCCTGTGAAGCACTCTAAACAATTATTCATCATAGAATTATCTTAGAAACGGACCTTTTTCTATGTACCTAAACAACCACGTTCAAGCACACTGATACAGTCCCTGCTCTCAATCTCAGAGGTCGAGGAACTTAAAGCAAAGCAAAAATGTCACCTTTCAATCAGCCTATTTCCAAATAAAAGAAAGCTACCTGATTCCATGCCAACCCTGATTTCACTGCCATTTACCTAACCTAGACCAAACATGCCTTGGCTCCTTTTATCTTTTAGAACTGTCAACTGCCAGAAAAGAGAGAGTTTGCATTTAGCACAGCCTTTATAACGTCAGAGACGAAGAGCTGTTTATGACCATAGTGTAATAACAATAAGGGATATCCTCTTAGGCCACGCGCGGTGGCTCACGCCTGTAATCCCAGCACTTTGGGAGGCCGAGGCGGCTGGATCACAAGGTCAAGAGACCAAGACCCTCATGGTCAACAAGGTGAAACCCCATCTCTACTAAAAATACAAAAAACATCAGCTGGGCATGGTGGTGTGTGCCTGTAATCCCAGCTACTCAGGAGGCTGAGGCAGGAGAATTGCCTGAACCCAGGAGGCGGAGGTTGCAGTGAGCCGAGATCATGCCACTGCACTCCAGCCTGGGTAACAAGAGCGAAACTCTGTCTCAAAAAAAAAAAAAAAAAAGGGATATCCTCTTTATAATTTTCCCCCTTTTACTCAAATAATCTATCGGTCCTGAAACATACCAAGTTTTTATGCTGAATGTTTAACATAATAAAGTATCAGGCACATCTCTATTTCACCTTAGGAATCCTAAGGCTTAAGGCAACACTGGACGCAAAAACGCCGAGAAATCTACATGTCGTCCATAGAAATGTAGAATGAACATCCTTTGGTTTGTTCCGTTTCTCAGGCCTGTGTCACAAAGAGAAGTGCCAAGTTTCTAAGTAGCGGGCGAAGTATTACGGGAAGCCTCGCTTTCCAGAACTGAAGACACTTACTTGGCTTTCAACGTCTCCTCCTGAAAATTCCAGTGGGGATCTTCTACCAGCTGTAATTCTCTTAATACCCTTCCGGGCTTGTAGGCTGCGTTGATTATCATGCTCAGAACCTTTTGGGTGGAAAAAAGAGGCAGAATGAGCTGCAACTGCATTCATTCCTACTAACAGGAGGATGCTTTGAAACCACACCAGTGACAATTAGGAGGGCTCGCCATTATCCCCACATTAAATGAAGAACTGCGATTAAGTCTGACAGGACACTTCCCAGGCTCACACTGAATTGTTTCACCATCCAGGGACAAAAAGTGCAGTGAAATCCAATCTGTCTGGCTAGAAAAGTGTGAACCTCTCTCTAGAGGGGGTGGCAGACTCCCGTTAACTCTTCTAGTTGCAGAGAAGCCGAGCCATTTTCACCAGAGAGCAATTTATTGTACTTCAACAGGGTGGCTCTTCAGCTGGATAGGCTACTGAGCATTTCTTCTATTTTTAAAGGTTTCATAGGGAACCAATGAAACAGAGGCAGTTCACTCACGAAACACTTCTGGAGAGGCTTCGGATGCTTGCAAGGAGGGTAACAAGTTGTGTGAAACTCCCCTCTTGCAGGCTTAATTCATGGGCATTTAATACTAGGGCACCTTCTGACATGTGAATATATATCTTTTATTATACTTTAAGTTCTGGGTACATGTGCACATCTTGCAGGATTGTCATATATGCCATGGTGGTTTGCTGCATCTATCCCCGTCACCTACATTAGGTGTTTCTCCTAATGTTATCCCTCCCCAACCTCCCCACCCCCTGCTATCGCCCCCCCAGCCCCCAACCCCCCCAACAGACCCCAGTGTGTAATGTTCCCCTCTCTGTGTCCACGTGTTCTCATGATTCAGCACCCACTTATGAGTGAGAACATGTGGTGTTTGGTTTTCTGTTCTTGTGTCAGTTTGCTAGGAATGATGGTTTCCAGTTTCATCCATGTCCCTGCAAAGGACATGAACTCATCCTTTTTTATGGCTGCATAGTACTCCATGGTGTATATGTGCCACATTTTCTTTATCCAGTCTATCCTTGATGGGCGTTTCGGTTGGTTCCAAGTCTTTGCTATTGTAAGCAGTGCTGCAATGAACATACATGTGCATGTGTCTTTATAACAGAATAATTTATAATTCTTTGGGTATATACCCAGTAATGGGATTGCTGGGTCAAATGGTATTTCTATTTCTAGATCCCTGAGGAATTGCCACACTATCTTCCACAATGGTTGCACTAATTTACACTGCCACCAACAGTGTAAAAGTGTTCCTATTTCTCCACATCCTCTCCAGCATCTGTTGTCTCCATATTTTTTTAATGATCGCCATTCTAACAGGTGTAAGATGGTATCTCAATGGAGTTTTGATTTGCATGAAATGTGAATATTTTAAAAGCGAGTCTGGAACACCCAATGCCATCTAATATCATATTTCCTTGATCTACCCCTCACTCTCAAGTCCAAGAAAACGAGCATGTGTCTACCACAGGTTTCAGAAAGAACATGCACTTCTGAGGGTCCCAGCTGCTGACCTGGGGAGATACAATGCTCCTGTTGACCTCAATGAGCTTCTCTAATGAAAAGGGGGAGGACCTCAGAGCCTGAAGCTGCTCACCTTTCAAAAAGCAAATCATCATTAATGATGAACACTGATGAGTTATGACATATTCCTGGGCTGCTGCTGTTTGGAAAGAGACCTTACAGAGAATGTGGGAGTGCAAAGCAGAGGCCTATGGTGTGGAGTTCCCTGAAGTGACTCTGTGAAGCTCCACTGGGTGAGAGGCAGCAGGAACAAGATAGGGGGAGCACGCAGTGCCCATGCCTCCTGCAGGCTGTCCCAGTGCAGAAGCTGGAAGGACCACGCCAGGCATGGAGCTCACATTTCAGATTTCAGAGCAAAATACCATGAGAAAGCAAGAAAAATAGCTGAGTGCCACGGGAGACTGGCATTAGTGCCTAAACACCTACAGTTTTTTAATGGAGACTATCACAAGATAAATGGAAGGAGGTGGGAGAACGTGGCTGGAATTTGGATGTCACGTTTGTCATGGGTCTGCTATGTTCTGGAATGTGACCAGCTTGGTTTGCACCCTGATTTACTTTTGAAAACAACAAATTTTTCTCAAGTTGTAACTAAGGATTTGCTCTTAAAATACTTTACACTATGCAGTCAGCCCAGCGACTGCCTTTTCTTTGCCTGGGTAACATTTTGCTATGTTTCAAGGGCCTCAAAACTACCCACCAAGAGAATGTGGCTTGCCAAGGTGCTAAAAAGCTATGACAAGGCGGTACCGGCAGTTCTGTTGCATTCGTGTTTTCTGTATTAGAATAATCATCTGATTTTATTGTTTACTGTCAGTACAATTTACAGAAACTCAGTTTAAAAATAAATCTAATTAGAACCGACTGCAATAACGTACACAGTGTTTATCAACAGACAATACAATTTCAGCAGATTCTTTTCATTGGGTTTTGCAGAGAAAACCCCAGAGCTACATGCTATTTGCTACATATCGAGATGCATTTTGTGACTGTGAAAAGAAAATGCTTTCTGGAATTTAATTCAGCCTGGGAGCAGGCAGCAATTAAATTACAAAAAAGCATCTGATATTGAATGTTTTTCCCTCGGCTTTTCTGGATGCCACATCATCCGTCTCCAAATTCAACAAGCTCTTTATAAGACTCTGTAATTGTAAGCTGAATAATTTCTGTGCACATGACAATGTAATGTATTATAGTTACCTAATGAAAATAACTAAGTGGACAGCTGTTATGACTAGCCACAGTTAGACTGAATTATTGTGCTTTGCAAAACACTGGAGTTCAGTTCATTATGTTCTTGATCAGAGAGGGTAGCAGGGAACCTGTCCCCCCCCAAAACTAACAGAACCTTAGGTGTCTCTCATCTTCCTCCACTGATATGGTTTGGCTGTGACCCCACCCAAATCACATCTTGAATTGTATATCCCATAACTCCCATGTGTGGTGGTAGGGACCCTGTGGGAGGTAACTGAATTGTAGGGCCAGTTTCCCCCATACTGTTCTCGTGGTAGTGAATAAGTCCCGTGAGATATGATGGTTTTATAAGGGGTTCCCTGTTTGCTTAGCTCCCATTGTGTCTTGCCTGCCACCATGTAAGACGTGCCTTTTGCCTTCCCCCATCCCCTGCCACATGGAACTGTGGTCCATTAAACCCCTTTTCCTTTATAAATTGCCCAGTCTCAGATATGTCTTTATCAGCAGTGTAAAAATGGACTAACAAATCCACCCACCTCATTTCTCAGCTCTTTTTCAGTAAAATCCTTAAGAAGAGCTCTACACTCACCAATGCCTCTTTCTCTTCTTCAGTTCTTTCTGGAACCCAATCCAATGGGGCTCTTCTGTGTCCACCATGTCCCTGAAAGTACCTTATCCAGATGCCCAGTGAGGACACACAGCTGAAGGCTGGGTAGCTCTGGTTCGATTCCTACTCTGCCAGCAGGGGCTTCCCTGCCTTCCACCTCACCTTTTGAGAGCCTCACCTCCCAACAATGGCCAGGGCAATCCTTTAAACCACAGGTCAGATGAGGCCTTTCCTCTGCTCTGTTCTTCTCTTAGGATTGTTCTTCCTGGGGAAATCCTTCCAGCCCATCCCTCCCCATCCGGGTCTTTACTTCAAAGTCTGTATCAGAGAGGGCTCTGCTGAGCATCCTCTGTACACAGAACATTGCTCCCTTCATTCTCTGGCCTCTCATGGATAACTTATTTTATTATTAATATAGAATTACTCCTTTATTGGTTGATTTGTTCACCATCCACCCCTACAATAACATAAGCAGCAGGAAATCAGGGACTTCATTCTGTTTGCTGCTGTATCTATGGTAGATAGAACTGTAACTGGCAAGAATAGGTGCTCAATAGATATTTCTTTAATTAGTTCAATAATTTCAATATGGGTTCTGAAATTAGATAAGACTATTCTGTTCATCTCAAAATTAACAACAAATTCACTCCCAGTGTCTGATACCATATAATCTATGTGAACAGAGGGTCAGGAGTTATCATTTGCTATTGCTTTTCATTGCTACAAAATCTTATCCTATGCTATGATGAGAAAGTTCATCAAATGTATCTTGTCTTCTCTATGGGAAAATAATAAAGAAAAGCCCAAAATTGTGCACCTTTCCTGTGCCAACCTTCCCTCTGCACACTGACTATGTGAGTGTGTTAAAGTTTATGTCCGCCCAAAAGGTTAGTACGTTATTCTTAGTGGGTGAACTAACCTTCAGCATAAATTTAAAACAGCAGCAACAAAAACACAACAGAGTATCTTCAAGAGGCCTGTCTGCATCTGTCCTTGATTCCGAGGACCGACTTCACTGATGTCACCTGGGTAAGATATTTCCTCTGTCCAGTATCACTTGGAAATGTCCTTGATATGAGGCCATCATTCCCACTGCCTCAACACTCCTGGGATGCTACCGATGAACTTACGGCTGCTTCGAAGAAGGAAAGCTCTTCTCCTACCATGAAGTTTATGAAGAGCGAAGGCTGCCTCGGGCAGCCAACATTCAGGTTTCTCACTAGAAAGCTTTCTAGTTTGTAGGTACTAAGTTGTTGTAAGTGATAGCCCAGGACAAATGCTCAGAGCTACACAATGAAAGAGACATTCAAACAGCACACCACAGACTCCCCAACTGTGAGAGCTAAACACCCCACACAAAAAGACGGAGGGAAATCGCTTAATGAATCAACCACAGGGCAGAAATCTAAACAGTAAATAACAGCTGAGACCAAACTGCCAGGCCCCACTTGAAAGTGGGGAACCGAATCCACTGGGGATTTTCTGTTGGTCTCAGCTGTTATTTAGACCAAATAGCAAAACAGACTCAGATTGTTATTTGAGACCAAATCCCAAACTGCCAGACCCCACCAAAACTGCAGTGAGCGGCTGGGCATGGTGGCTCACGCCTGTAATCCCAGCACTCTGGGAGGCCGAGGTGGGTGGATCACGAGGTCAAGAGATCGAGACCATCCTGGTCAACATGGTGAAACCCCGTCTCTACTAAAAATACAAAAAATTAGCTGGGCGTGGTGGCACGT